TGTGTGATCCACGAAATACGGAATTCCGTTACGAGATTAAATTTCAAGATGGACGCCCAAAGTACGACAAAATGTTTAGCTAGAATTGAATGTATCAATGTTCATTGTTCTCAGAGTGAACTGAACTGTTTAGCTTTTTTTGTGCTTGTGTAAATGACGTTTCAACAATAAATCTTGGCGTGTGCTGGGGGCCGCGTGGTGGCGTGTCGGCAGCCAGTGTTGGTAAAGCGGCTAAAAACCGATGTGGCCGCGCCGCCTCGCCAGTAACTGACCAACGGTCGTGACAGTGTAAGTAGCTGACAGCTCGTTGTAATTTTCGTTATTAATCTTTTAGGACATAAACATCTTTAAAGATTTTTGTAAAATTAATAGGTAACAACAACTTGAAGTGCAATACATACTTGCCATTTGGTGAATACGAGTTTTTACAACACGTGTCTTAGCCAGATATGAAAATTAAAGAAAAGTGTTATTTTTGTGTTGTACGGTAACAGTTACACATCTGGGAACGTCCACGGTCATTACCTCGCGGCTGGGGGCGCGGGCGAATCCTACGAGTATTCCCGAGAGCGGTTACATAACGCGTCTTTACGACGCTGATTAGCTCCTCGACCTGTCCTTGATAGTGTATCTTATCGGGTAACAAACAAAGACTAAACGTGCTGTTCCTACTCAATACAGTGTGAGAAAGGGAAAGACCGCATGTACAAAAAGCTATAGAGAAAGGTTTACACACCGACCATGCACATTGTGTCGTAACAAATTCTATAGTAGGACTAGGACTGTGTAACTATTTGTAGTTGAACACATAAGTGTGTGTTTAACAATTTTTGTCATGTTCTTAGCTAATTAATCCAAACGCATGTAAGCAGGTTACACATAACACTTGTCTGTTTTGCATTGCGTCTCGTCGTTCATTCGACGTCTGCCGGTGAATGAATACGTACGCTTGTGCCTTTTTGTCGAGGGCCCAACAATTTCTTTGAACATTTGTTTTTTTTTCGACCAAACGGTGACATCACGAATGGCTTTAAGCATTGACATGTGATAAGTATGCACATGTAGCAAGGCAAACGCGTCGATAACCAACGACTTCTAAACAGCCATCAATACAAGTACTTATATGAATAACGACATTATTAGAACTAATTTTAACAACGCAATAGCTCGATGGTGTTTATATGAAGCTAAACAATTATAGCTACTAACAAAGGAAATATGTATATCTACTTAAACATGTTTATAAGATGGTAGGTCACTACAGAAACAACCTACACATGCTATATATTTGTAAAGCTTATATTTTCAACCAACGGACAATGGGCAAACTCCTAGTTTGTGTAGTTCTGAAACAAAGCCGTGAGCAAAATGCAATGCATAATAATAATGCATGCAATTTGTAGGCTCCGGAATCAACTCTTGGAATACGTAAAGCTATTCAGGTAAACTTTACCTGGCAGAGGGTCGCCTAATGAAAGTCGATGTGATGAATGTTTCGAGTGTAATTAGAATTGATTAAAGTCGCCATCTTGTTGCGTATCAATTGTAATGGAGGCTGCCGCTTTTAAAACTGGAGGGGTAATCGGCGGATTTGGTAATTTTGCTCAGACAGGGAACCGTACGGCAGGTAATAACCATCATGTATGCATGTTACACGTAAATTGTTAAAGTTTCAACATGAGCTCATCCCAGAATTGAATCTTTAAGATAAGCCTGGGAATTGAAATCTTTGAAGTTCGACTTATTAGGGTTTGGTTTCTACTTTTTATGCTTCTTTGAAAGGCGAAATATCAATTTTGATGCGAAGATAGATTCACGAATACAAAGTACATTATTTATATTCGAAAACATCAAGAACGCATAAATGCCTCTGCGACTTAGTTCAATGACTCCATTTTTGAAGATTGATGTTATAAAACAGCCAACGACATCGAAATAGGTCATTGTTTGAAAATACTGAAAATTCCATACATCGCTAAGATTCCAGCGATCGATCTTTCGACGAAGTGTTATTTATTAAATTGCCGTATAGTGATATTCATTTCTCAAATGGGAGGGTTCATTTGGCATCTTATCAGAAGCTTATCAGTGATTTATTACTTTAGCTAACTCATAATATGGAGAAATATGACCGCTCTAGTCTTATCTTGTCTAACGATGGTGTTAGACAAAGATTGTCTCCATTCGGACTATGCATATTCTTAAAATTTGAATCTAAACTAGTAACAAATTATGAAACAGCGGAAGTAGTGGATAATATGGCGACATCCGGAGATTGCGTCGCACGCATGTGGTAAAATATTGGCGAAATCGCAAATTTGCGTTCTCGATTGTTCGATGACGTTCCCAAGGACTAATGCCGGTTAGTCTGGACCGGTAGAGCTGTTCTTGAATCGCGTGAGCCTCCGCTGTTTACTTTTACAGCTATAGTGAAGCGGTTGGATCGATTACGAAGTGACTTTACGAGTTCGATAACGTCTGGCACAGAAGACATTCGAGTCTTACGTGAAAATTAAGGTTAATGCTTTATTTTCTGCTTATGTTAATTGATATGGCCAGGTACGTCTGAATGAAGTTACAAAATTGTTAAGAACAAAAATTACACGTTTTGTTTGCCAACGACTTTTTAGCTTTTTTCCGATAAATGTTCTTTTCTATAAATCATATTAGTAATGTTATTTAATGTCAGATCGCCATATAAGTTCGTGTACTAATACAAATTGATTTTTCAGTCACCCGCTGAATAAACTGTAACATTATTACTATGTCAATAAGGTTATCGTGTAATTTTTGTATTTGTATTCATTAATATGAATTAATTAACGAACATTAATGATAATAGGGCCGATTGTGTCTTATAGTATATAATAATACAATAAGAATAGTGGGTCTCATATTTTTAAGAATAGGATATCTTTCGCTATGGTATTAATTTTTTTTTTTTGCTTTTTTTTATCGACAATAATGTGTAAATGCTAGTTTAGTTGTTGCGATTGCTGTAGGTACATTGGACATTTGACATGAAACTATTTTATAATCTGTTGACGGTCGGAGGACATGTACGGACTCAAATCGTTGGTTTATTTGAAAAATATAGATCCAAAAAATTCAATATCATAATAAAATTATTTTATATAACGTTTGTTAATTCGTGTGCTAACACAAAATCAGTTTTCGTCACCCGCTAAGTAAACTATAACAAATTAGGTAACTATACAATCTAATCTGCGTGTGGAATATAACTATTTATAGAAAATAAACTCATAAGGACCACGTGTAGCAATATGATTTGGTAATGTCGGCGATGTACTTCGCGATGATTAAAGAATTTTGGCGCCGATTTGTGTTAAAAGGACAATGGGCAAAAGTTACAGCTGATACATTCATATAATTGCGAATTACTTTTGGTAATCAATTAATAAATTTCTCTAAAACGACACCGATGCTCTAGCGGTCAAAATTTAGTAAAAATGTATAATTAGTACAAAAATAGGTATTAAACTGCCTCGGTGGTCGAGCGGTTGCCATGCTGGACTGCCATGCAGAGGTCCCAGGTACGGTTCTCAGGCCGGAGAAATATTTGTATGGTCTACATTTATTTCTCTTGTGAGTTTGGGTGTAATTTGTGTAGTGTATGTTCATGGTACCCAGGGTTTCCCTAGTGCGGGACTGTGAGTGTTTGCGTTTGTATTTAAATAAAACTTTATTCTTCAACACAATACAAAGCAAACAACGTAGTAATGGTAAACTTAAAAAATATATACATGTTTAAAATTGTATTGAAGAAAAGGTAAGCCTTAACGAAGAAAGTAGCATGGAAAGTCCTCTGTATAAGTGTTACATTACATCACATTACATAGTCATCACACTTATTAAATGCGGAATTGGCTTGAACAACAGTTGACACTAGACTATAATTCCGAATTCACAATGTGATTATCAATACTTAGCTTGTTTTATTTATTTTTCTACTTGAAAATGCGAAAAATAATTGAAAACAACGTAATTTTAAAATAAATTTTATTATTGCATATTTTATTTTTTTTAACAGTTAATTTTTCTTTAAGTTAATAATTCTGTGAATGTAAATAACATTAAGTACTTAAACAATATATTATGATAAGATGATTCGGAACATCAAAAAAGAAAGAGATGGCATTATATAGTTCATATAGCTTTATTTCTTTACTATTTTTAGTAAGGAATAGACAATATTGGGAAATCATTCGTTCTTTCAATTACTTTAGCAATAATACATTACTTGGTTGACAGGTTTGTCGTGGTACGAATATGAGTAATATTATAATAAACTTACTTTAAGCTTACGTTGAAATATGATTGTTTTTGGAAAGGTTATTGCTTAACTAAACTGTGCTTTGGCAAAACAGTAACAAAATTTAGTTCTTTTGCTACCTTGTCGTTTTAGCATGTGGTCCATTTAACGATACGGTGATTTCAATATCTACCGCACATCTACTATTTTGCTACCACGTCATTGTAAGTTATAGTCTTTCGGCAGAGGTGGTCGTTTTGCGATGTAGTCCTTATGCTGATCAGGTAATTTTGATGATATAGTCATTATGCTACCGACCCACTGCGGGTACGTACGGGGGTGAAGGGCGGCATATTTTACATAGCTTAGTGGAATCGTTGGGTTAGTTCAGTTAGCTCGGTTAGCTTAGTGTGAACCGAAGTATGAATAGATGCCCCGGCTACTGAGTTAAGCTAAGTCAGCTTCGCGGTTTTGGCGTGCGCTTTAGTATGTTGACTCCCTTAAATACATAATTGATTATCTACGCCCAATGTACGGTTAAGACCATTGCTAGTAAATGGAGAATAGTTACGGAATTTCCTCTCAGGTGTACCTGCATGGAGAAGCTTGCTTTCTTTGAATAAGTTCATATTTACATCTGTCTGCTTCTGCTTCGTCGTATTGACGTGAGTGATAAGTAACGTATTCCGTATGAGATGTTGATACGTTTGTATAACAAAATACTCACTTTGATGCTTATCTGCTAACTGTATGAGGGGATTGGGTAGGTCTCGCCGTCTGTAGAAGCACATGACTTTCGCTTCCACGTTACCCGACGCGGTCTTGTTCAGTTCCTCTATCCGTCGGATTTGGTACGGAGACGTCGACGACGTCTCGAAATAGACGCAGTCTGTGGACAATGCAGTTCAATTGTGAATACAGCTAATTATGATAATTTGAATATCTTTTGTAATATACAGGTATGTATATTGGTTCCCCATGTATGACTTTCCTCTTGAATGTGCGTGAAATTTAAAAATGACTAAAGTAAATGAAAAAGTTCCAATCACATTTCAACTACTGCTGATCGTACTCGTGATGAACACGACTCAAGAAACTCCGAAACGATCCTAAGCAAATTCCGCCCGCGCACTTTTTGTAGATCAAAATTTTTTTTTTGCAAAAGAGTGAAGCAATTTTCATTACTCGATCGATTATTCAATCTAGCAATAGTATAATGTCGACCTCTGGTTTGCGCACCAGTTTTCATGGTGTTACCATCTCTCGAGGTCCCGGGTTCGATCCCCGGTCGGGTCAATGTAGAGAAACTAACTTTTGTCTGTGTGTTTGTGGTACCGTCAATGTTTCCAATTTCCATAACACAAGTGCTTTAATTACTTATTTTCGGATCAGAGCAATGTACGACAATGCAAGATGTTGTCTAACATTATTGCACCTTTTTAGATCAGGTACTTTACAATAGTACACAAACAAACACACTAACGCAAACAAGAAAATTAGATGGAGAAGAAGTACCATTCACATAACTCCTAAACATTTAAAGTAACCAAATGTCATAGAAGCCACTTTGCCAATACGTTGAAAATAGGAATCTAATGTGAACACAATACGTACTATCTAGACCAGACATCAAATAGTGTAACAGCTATTGATTGTATTTCAAGCTGAAGCTTAAAGCAATAGGATATTAGTTTCTGAAACCATATATGTATTACAGATGATATCTCGTTTTATTTATACAAAAGATTATTGAATTAAGAATCGTGCAGTATGTCTGACCGTTACTGCCGATTGACCAAAATTGGCTTTCAACATATCTAATAATCGTTGAAAGCTAACTCTCGGCTTCAAAAATACGATCTATACAAAACTGAACCTTAATTTTATACTTTGCGGAAAACAAGCGTGGCTAATTAATACCAATTATCTTTAACTAACACCACAAGTACTAACTTGTGTAGGTTAAAAGAATGGCCAGTATTATAAGTAGATACAGTCAAAATGTCCTGAGCCGTTAAGAATACTTGAACATTAGATAAAAAAAATCTTAACGCGGTAGTATAAGTTTCAGTTTTGATTGAAACTCAATTAGACACGGATGGAATCGACAACGGCGGATCCGACACGGGTCCATAGCCATCGGCAAAAGTTAAGAGGATAAGGAATTCTAAACAATGAATGGAATTAAGATAAGTCATCATCATCATCCCATGTTCAATACGACCCACTGCTAACCGGTCTCTAAGGATTTAGGCTATAGTAATGCAACGACATGCAAGTTTTATCACAATGTTTCAGTTCACTGTACACGAGAGGTATTGCTACAATACATTCACAAATGTGTACGTATGAGGACAAGAACCGTCAGCGTCATCTCTAAATTGATAAGCAACTGTTCTGCCACTGGGCTAACACCCGCTCTAACATTGAGGTTTCGTAAAAACACAAAATCAATCCAGAGGCAAATATGTATTGCCTTTTTCGCATTTGGTTCGTCTAAGTCGGCGACAGGGCGATGCGTGGAATCGACGGAGCGTAACGGAGTCCAACTATCATTGGATACCTGCGGGCTGCGTTGCTTATGGCTTTGTACATGGACAACTATATAAATGGCGCCTTTTACCGTTACGTCGCTCAACTAACGCTCGGCATAATGACACGCCACGGACCTTTCATTCTGAACTGCGCTAAAGTAACCGCGTTAGTTTGACAATAACTTGCTTTCTCTGTTTTCACTAGCGTGATTGTTACTGTGAAATTGTAATTCAAAAGAATAGGTCTTCAGCGATTACGATCTTGTCACTCAATAAGTGATTCTACCCTTTTGAACTTAGGGTTTAAAATAGTGAAATTCCGCTAAATCTATTACCACCAATCACTAACCGGTGGAACCTACTTGATCTCATATTTCGATGAACTTTCTATTCTAGTGCGATCACGAACTAATTTTAACTTCCGTACGATGGATGCGATGTGATTCACGTGTATAATAGGTAAGAGATATTTTTCGCAGTTTTCCACAATTGCCTACGAGCTTAAATCATGTTCTTACCCATCAACAAAATATTAATGACGAATACAGTCAACTGATAGAATATGCAATAATAGATTCATGTAATCGATTAATCTATTACGCAAATCGACCGTTCTGAGCTAGAATTTTATAAATTAAATCATATTAATGGAACTGTTCACTAGAATATAAAGGGTGTGACAATAAAATATCGCATACGGTATCAGACGAAACAAATGAAGAGAGGTGGGCCTTTCAAACTGAATCGCTTTTCCGCTAACTCTCGTCGTTCAACTAGTTGTATAATCTAGAGAACAGACGCCCCGCGACGTACCAACTATAAGAACAACGCTTATAACGTAGCGTAGATATGCACGGCTGTGACTATATGTACCTACAACCGTGCTCCATCTATAGACACATGCTGGGGCAACAGTACGGCGGATACGTCTGTACAAACTCACCTAGTGTGTTTAGATGTATATGTGTAAGTTGGGCATTATGCGGCTGATAGCAATGTTAACGCCCGTTCAGTTTTGCCAAGAGTTTGGTGTATTTTTGGAACGTGTCAATAAGTAAGTGTAGTAAATTTAGTCTGGACGCGTCATTACGGGATGCGGAGAATGATTAAATCCTTTAGCAGAGATTTCGCGGGGTTGGAGTTTTTTATTGTTAACGAGTGAAAACAAGTACTACATACTACATTATGTATCGTGCAAACATCTATCGGACACTAAGAGAATTTGACCCCTGTGTCACGGATGACGATCTTCATGACTCTGCGGTTAGCACTACAGGCGCTTGATGAAGAGACACCGTCTTCCATTGCCGGTGGGATCAATTTCAGAAACGAACTCCATAAATTCATTTTGCCCGAGTGTTTTGGTTTGTACAGGAAATTCCCTAGTTCAAGACCAGGCAATCGCAATTTTTACCCGCACCCTTCCTATCCTTCAAAACCGGAATAAAGTAATATAGTGGTATAATAGTATAGTGGGTATTACTATGCTGCCGCCAACTAAATAGATATGGTTTAGTAGCAGTAGAGCTCCTTGTGAAAGAGTTCGTCCAGAGAAGTACTGGCACTTTATCCATTTCTGCCGCCAAGCAGTAATGTGAGCATTACTGAGTTCCGATTTGTAAGGGTGAGGGTGCTGGTGAAATTATTAGCACATGGGACTTGTCAACTTATGACTCGGTGTGACGGGCGCCGTGGCAGTGCCCCTCAGATCTTTGCGATTTAAAGCTCTCGAGTTGCACTGCAACTGCTATGGACAGGCGTGTCGCTTACCACCAGACGCACGACTTGATTCTCCCGTCACATGATTTTATTTAAAAAACCAGGTATTGGTGTTATTCTCTGGCCCTTTGTTATTAATACAAAACTACAAATAACAGAGTATGCGTCGCGAAATAATAGATAACTAAAGTGTCACGAATACCTGAGAGTAAGTTCAATTAGACTCTGTAAAAACGTATAACCTTTTCCAATGTTGGTATCGTCATTGCACAGCTTTTGCATACACATTACTCCTAACATTTACACTATAAGAAAAAAAGTACACAAGTAACATAAATTGTACAACTAATACTACTTAGGCATATACCCGGAAAACATATTTATCTAGGCTATAAGTCTACCACGGTAATCTAGTGAACTATGTATCTATACACATACTGTTCGTTATCACTCACATCAAAAGTCTGTGGCCCAAATCAACGCTATACATAAATTGTCGACGATGAGATTTGAAATTTGTAATTTATGGTATTTAAGCAGTTTTTGTGATACCTATCTATAAAAGTGAAATAGTACCGAGTGGTCTTGAACCTATCGATTTTTCGGTATTTCTACTGATTTGGCGTTTGTCGTACCGAAATGGAAGGATTTTTCTATTTTTTTTAAGTAAGGTTTTTCTCCCGGTTGTTTATCGATTTTCAACAATCCAAGTTGGCATACCTATTTTTTTCTATCTTTTACAGGGATTTCCTACTGCTCAAACGTCGACAGACGTGTAAACGATTTATTTGGAGAATAAATACTCTTGTGTTTAAAAACTTACCATTGTAGGGCAAACCCAGCCCCGAACAAATTTGTAGTCTATATAAAATTCGGATTTCTTTTTAATTTATTTTCTTAAATTTGATTGAAATGGTTTGTTGTTAGTTTAGTGTTCTCTCAATCAAAATTATAGGTAAGCCCGCCTAACTGTTAATAGTTTTAATAATATAATAAGTGAGTAAAATACCGTTCCTACTTCAAAATATAGATAGAGATTTGTTCAATTTATTGTTTTTATTATTTACCGATTTTTGGTCCAAATATACCGATTTTACTAGGTAACCCTACCAATTCTAAATTTTGACTTTCGAGATCAGTGTATACTCGTTTATAAAATTGACAATATATCGCGTAAGTGAGCGTACACGCTTATTGACTTTTTTCTGAGAGCGGGTACATAAAAAGTGCGACTGATTCCACTGATCCTTTTGTCATGAGGTTTTTTTCTCATCAAGCAAATATTTTTATGAAGCGTGAAACACACAGAGAGCGGGTGCGGGAAGGACGTGCCCGACCCGACGTGCTCCAGAACCGACGTGCTCCCGACCCGACACGCGCCCGGCTCGCACCCGCTCTCTATGTGTTTCAAGCTTAAAACAAATTACCTACATCCACTTGTCATATACGTAACTTTTATAGCAGGCATACGACTGCATCGTGAGCTTTCGTGCAGTTCATTCGTGTCAGCAAACACGACTTGAGAGAACAAAATTGAAGCTATAGAGTTCTTAGGTTCTTGTGATTGTAACACATAGCAAATGAAACTATTTATTCGGAAATAGCAATATTAATTTTTCAAACAAACCCACATTTT